CAGGTAGGCCTTGCTAAAAAGTGCCAATAAGCACGAAACCTAGATCGAAGGCTTTTTGCCATTCGCCTTCAACAATCTAACAACAAGTCAGCGTGTACTGTGATGGTGACTCAACTAACCTGGTGGCCAAATTGCATACTTGACTGCTAGAATTTAGTCTTCAGCAAACAAAGGACTACTCGCATGACACTAGTTACTCTCTAGTGTCCAGTCAAAGTATGGTACCATATTACTTCAGGAGTAAATTCACTTCAGTGTGGTTTTCATACAAGTCTACCTAAGGTGTTTTGGGGACCTAACAATGAGCCCGATAAGTGTACGGAGTATCAGAATAAAATTCGAGTCATTAAAAAAATATTGAGACAGTATGTCATATATACACGGACAAATAAGTTATAAAGTTAATGGCTACTTGAAAATACAGTTATAGTCCATCTCTACAAATTAGTAATATAGTCCACAGATACGGTTCAATACTGAGTTGTGCTCGCTGGTGGAAGTTGTTTACCACTTGTTGGGGTGTCTTTGGACAAGGACGAGATGTTCCTGTAGGTTTCAAAGAATAAACACCACAGACTGGCATAACGGGTAGACAACAGAAACCAGTGAGAAGATGAAGGGATGGACAGCATGACCATATTTTCATTCAAGCACGAAAGTTATATATATATATATATTACAAAGAAGTCGACTAAACAAAAGTTATGTGCAAAGTATCCCATTTGTAACATTTGGCAAAAGCTGTACTCCGCAGTGAGTGATGATGTCCCCACTGAGGCTCGAACCCAATGTCCATAGCTTCAAATGTCAAAGCGTTAACCACTAGACCACTTGGGCCATGAGAGCCACCTCTTATGCAACGGGTTGTATTAATTATTTAATTCATTTTTAGACTTTCCCGTCGACTGATTGGACCGAGTGCACGTACATCCAGGTGACGAGTCCCCGATAGGACGAAATGCGCTTTCTGGATTCCATTCCTACTCACCATTCACAAATTAACTTCTAATTACATGCTCAGACATCGTCGAAGTATCTGCACAAGAAGCCGACATGTCAACCTGAGATAGAGCACTTCAGTCAAATCAATAGACCGTAAAATCGAAAGTTGAATTAAATAAAAAAAACTGTACAGGTTTATTGTTCAGGGTTACACAGTGTCTATATCTCAGTGTCCAGCATCTCTGTGTATCAGTTACTGTTACATTCAATGAGAACACGAGATACACATATAGCACTACTAAATAGTTAATATGAAAAGAAATTGTATTCTATGAAGAAGGATATTTTTATTTTATTTTGGAGTAAATAATAACATATGACACAGTATTGAGAAAAATGATGGTTGAACAAATAATACTGTTTTCAAAAACTTCCTCGTCAGGTTTTACAGCTATATATCTAAATTAAGTAAATTATAAGTTTGTGTCTATCGACTATATAAAGGCTTTTGTAACAAGGGACCATTCAGTCATTATTCTTTCTTTGAATTTCAAGTAGAAAGCAGGACTTTAAAAGAATATCTCATTTCTGGGTCCTCTTTCAGTTCTTCTAAGGAAATTCCATCTCGTTCTGCTGCTTTTCTGGCTTTCAGGGTCTGCTTTTGTTGGAGGGTTGGTTTTCACCTACGGTTCTTCACTGGCTTTAGATGCGCTAATCTATTTCGAGGTAGCAACCTGGTTATCTATTATGGTTTTCTTAGATGCCTTATACCTACGGCCTGTTCCTTCATTGTATCGTAAATGTATCTTTTGTATTTATTAGCACTTTTCTTCACTGCTTTATTCAATGCACTGTAGGTTGTGCACTGACCCTACCTTCGTTAACAATGTTTAAATTCTTCGAATTTGGTTCAAAGTAAGTACCCATATGATATGGTGTAAAATTTTACTGTCAAGATAAATTATTTCCCTATAAGCGATGTTGAGAGTAATAAGAACGAACGATTGTAGTTATAACTTGTAGATGAGTTCTCTCCAGGCATATCATGAACTTCACGCGAACAAAATAAGGTCAAGTCTCTCTTTCTACCTGTGTTTATCCAATTTTTAATCGGCAATCTGTGACTTTAATCACTTATCCTTAGGTTACCTATTAGCTTTACTGCTTAATGAGCTAGCAGAATGGAGAACTATATTTATTTTGTTTAACTTATAGATGAAGCAAACATTGATCCGTTTATGTTAAACTAAGTACTGGTAGATAGCGTAGCATAATACTTCTTTAAAAATGGAAGTGAGACTACACATACCAGCTTCTGATTTGATTGATACTGTAACTTGAAGTTTATTTGCATCTTCATATATATATATATATATATATATATATATATGAAGTTGTAGATTATTCAGTGTAGTAGCATTTAACTTTCAGTCCATAAGCCTTGGGTTCAAAACCTGTTGCCCCCTACTTCAGTCTATGAGACTGGCTAGTATATAATCAGCTGTCACACAGTAAACTAGAATTAAACCCAAAGATAGTTTGCAGATCAAGTAATAAAGACTTTTAAAAGTACTGCTGCAATCAAAGCTAGTTAAAGGTAGTGAAAAATAACGGACACCACTTACATCATGTTTCTTTATGGAGCGTAACATACTACTGAGCTATATTCCTCCTTAACTCGCTATTGACACAGTTCGCGGAAGCGATATTTCAGAACACAAACAATATGTGATCTGCTTGATACTGTAAGTGGTAATCAAGAAACCAAGAGTAAATGTATAAAACTACTATATACTACTGATTGGCTGAGATGAGTAGTTGTATACCACTCACATCAACCGGTAGTATTTGCAAACCAAGTGATTTAAACACCGGATTCCTGTTTCCCTCACCTGGGCCCGAGTTCATCAACGGTGTACTACCCTCATGTAACAAAGTTCAGCAATACAGTGATACATAATATACTGAATGAGTTATCGTATCTCGAGCCCGGATAGCTCAGTGGTACCGTCTCTGACTGCAGCACTGGCTGACATGGGTTCGAATCTCAGAAAGGACATGAGTTCCTTCAAGACTGCAGACACGCCTTGCTGATTGGTGAGTGCCAACAAGCCCTAAACCTTCCAATAGCCTCCAAACATCTAGTAACAACAATTATTATTCATTATATGCGTCGGTGGCACAGCGGTAGAATGCTCGCCAACCGCGTATATGGTTCAGGGTTCGAGCCCCGGCCGACGTACTCCTGTACTTCGCTAAGCCAGTAATAAGACTGGTAAACAGGAGAGGTTAGGCATGAGGCTAGCAAACCCATCCCGTAAAAATAAACATCGCTGCTTCCGAAACTTCAAGCCTCTGACTTGAAGCCCTATGTTCCACTGGGAACGTAAAGGAATAAAAGAAGAAACCGTATCTTAGCTTATGTAATAAATCAGTTTCTTACCACTTTTAAACGATAGTAAGTAAGTACACCTCATCACACCATTGCTTGTACTCATTCGACGGAATCTAGTTAATCTTTTCAAATGGTAATCATTTTAGAAAGAAGATATATGTATATTTATATTTCTTGTACAAACAATCAATATTATTAAGATGCATAAATTATTGAATGATTCAATATTTCATATAAATACAAAGATATAATATATATGTATATAAATATATGTAATAGGTAGGTAGAGACTAAGGGAAAGAAGATAAATAGTTAGCTAGTTTTGTGAATATATATACTGAATTTGTTTTTATCACATAGACTATCGTCTCTTTAGTCTTGTATAAATAAATTATCACAATCATAAGTAGATTAAGAGCTTCAGAAAAAAATATATAGTGAATAACTGTAATAATAATAATAGTCACTATAGCAGATAATGTCAACAATGTGTCTTACATTCATAAATATCAATCAATCAATCAATTTAAAGGTTTGTTTAAATTAGTCAATGTCATTTTCTGTTGCGTATAAAAAAGAGGCGGGATTATAAATAAATAGTAAGATACATACAAACATACTTACAATTGCATTACATTTTCCAAAAAAATAAAAACGAAGAATTAAGTAAGTAAGTAATTTAGAAGTAATGGGAAGTGAGAAGTGGGCCTGTGAGCGTGTATACAGGTTGGAAATACATTTCAGTTTGATGTGATGCGTATTTCTATTTGAAAACATTTTGGCTTTCAGGATATTTTCACCGCCTGTTCTATTCCGCGCGGAGGGGGCTGGGGGAAACAAACGATGAGGAGTGAAAGGAAAGCAAGAGAACAGATATTATGTAATGTGTAATGTAGGTAAATAGTCAGCTAGAAGAATAGAAACAATAACATTAGGTAATCATCATATTGAGTAAGACAAATACTGGTGATACACAATTAACATATTAGTATAATATAATGAATGGTTAGGCGTTATAGTAATTCAAATTCCTAGAAGTTGTCATAGTATTATTATTATTATGATTTAAAGGATAGAAAAACAAAAATAAAAAGTTGAAAATAAAAATTATTTTGAACAATGAAAGTGTATGCATATAATATGTATAAATATGTATTGAAACACACCTATGAGCTGTTCTCTTGCATACATACATACATACATATATACTGTTATTGTATATTCAATGTGTACACGAAATACATTCACAATAATGAGTTGTTTCAAAATGCCTAAAATGTGTTAATTTGTTCAGTTATTGTGTATTCAATAAGCTTGGAAATCCAATAACTGCTGTTGTTGTCATAAGACTAAAGGTGTATGAGGAGTTTGATACAGCAGTAATATAATATTTCCATGGCTATATTAGTAGTAGTAGTAGTAGTTATAAGTATCGAATTGAATAAGGCTGATACTGGTGACTACTACACATGGATACATTTCAGTTAAAATAAGAATGATGCACGCGAAATTGTCAAAAAAGAAAGGAAGACAGCAGAAATATGTATATGCATTAGATAACTGACACCTTTTATGGTCCCTGTTACTTGTATCCCGTGTGTGTAAGTCTGTGTTACAAGGCAGTCAATATCCGATGTATCTTTGATATAATTATAATAAATGTTTATCGACTTCGTGGGACAGATCCATTCGACGATGGATTACTCATAATAGAACCAGTAGTAGTATTACCGATTGTATCACAAGGACTACGAACTTCTGATTTTAAGCGTACAAATTCACGAGCTATTTCATCTTGTGGCCTTTGTGATAGTATACGCAGTATAGTCCATCCAGTATCATCAAGATGTAGTCTTTTCCCTAGACTACAAATACATGCACATGCACCACTTTGACCACCTGCAGTGCTTCGACCCCCACCAGCGCCACCTTTTACATGGATTGTAGGCGAAGCATTTAAGTCGGTAGATGTTGATAAATCTCGAAGTTGTAGAACAGTTAGCCCAATCAATCGATCAGCTCTACCGAAACAATAATCTTTAGCACACATATGTAATTCGTATGACTCAGGATCTGAACCAGCACTGAGAAAACTGAAAATAAGTGAAACAGAAAATAATCAATAAGTATTATTAGTAAATTCTTAAAGAAAACAGTTATACATAATGACATCACGAATAATACATGACTTAGTAATCATAAGTCATAGGAAGAATAGCTGATTTGTACTCACACTGTAACAGCAATAACTTCATCAGGTTTACAAAATGAATAACACATTAGTTCATTACCTCTCTATCTCAACTTCATCGACTTTAAAAAGGCCTTCGACAGCGTCGATCGAGAGGTGCTTTGGCAACTACTTCGCTACTACGATGTGCCACTGACAATTATACATCTCATCCAACGGCTGTACGGCAATGCCGCAGGCCAAGTAATCCACAACGGGAAACTCACGGAATCTTTGGAAGTGAGAAGAGGAGTAATAATAATAATTTGCTTTATTCCAAAACAGTACTTGTGATACAGAATGGAATTCTCAGCATTTTTACTACAGTATTGCATCCAGCTTGTACATTATCAATAAATAGAATTCTACATAGATTGAGGAAACCGCAGTTCATTATTACAACAATACATTGGCATGTCAGTAGCAAAGGTAAAGCTGAAACAGTGTTTGAAGGTGTTAGAAAAGTGGGAGCTGTCTTATTAACTGGCGTAAGCGAGAGAAAGAGACAAAGCAGCACATAACGGAAAAAGAAGAGAGAGAAAAGGAACAGAAAGAAAGAAAATGTTGTACCTATTGGTGAAGTGGGTTGGAAAGATGAGATCTAGTTGTACTAACGACTATTTAATGAATTATAGGTGTCACGCCTGATGCTTTCTTTATCACACAGAACACGAGCTAGGTAGGGTATGGTTGAGTTTTTGTACTTGCTGGTGCGAGCATATAGTTTTCTATATAGGCTTGTGGTCCTGTCTGATGAGATAAAAGGGGGGAGTTGTGAGTGAAGAGGGTGGTGTGAGTTAGATAGAATAGATTTGGCCCATTTTTCACATGAGTCCATGTGCCTGTCGACCAGAATATTAACAAGCTGGTTAAGTGGCACGTTGCTTATCCTGCTGACAACCTTTAACATCCTGCGTAATATGTTATAGTCTCTCTTCAGTAGCCCGGGAAAAACTAAGGGGGAACAATAGAGAATAATAGGCAGGATGCGAGAATTAACGAATTGTAGGAGTAAGGGTTGGGTAATACCAGAATGTTTTAACTTCTTAATGTAGAAGGTGAGACGGAATATTTTCTTAGAAATTGCTAAGATATGAGACGACCAGGAGAGATCAGCAGATAGAATGACACCTAGGTATTTAATTTCCGATTTAATTTCTATTTCAGTGCCGTCTATTTTGCATACCTCGTAAGAGCCAAACAGTTTGTTTAGGTCGGATTTATGCCTAAAGGTGAAATTGACTGTTTGGCATTTGGAGGGGTTTAGAGTAAGACCATTTTCCTTGGACCACTGGCTGATTTCTGACAGAAAGCCATTAAGTTTAGAGCAGTCGCTTTGACATTTGATAGGCAAAGATACAGACAGATCGTCAGCGTATTTGACAAAATTAATGTCATTTGAAGATGGTAAGTCATGTAGAAAGAAAGAAAAGAGAAGTGGGGAGAGTACAGCGCCTTGGGGGACTCCGGCTTCAGTGAGTGCAGCAGAGGATGATTTACCTTTGTAAACGGTGTACTGCATTCTGTTTGAGAAGTAGGAATGCAACCAGTTGGTGACCCAGGACTCAGTTTTCGAGTAAGACAAGGCTGCCTACTATCGCCAATGATTTTCCTGATTGCAGCAGCGGGCAATGAGGAAACAGGCATAAAATGGACTCACACAAAAAACTTGGAAGATCTGGACTTCGCCGATGATATATGTCTGATTTCCCACAAACTGGAAGATATGCATGCGAAAAGCAACAAGTTGGCAGAAGAAGCATCCAGAGAAGATAGGAAGGACTTCAGGTGAACATAGAGAAAACAGAGGTGATGAAGATTCCTGGGCAATAGCAACAACGACAACAAGGAACCTGAAAGAAACAACCTCTTTTACATACCTGGGAAGCATCGTTTCAATTACAGGCGGCGGAACTGATGAAGATATCAAAGCAAGGATCGGGAAAGCAAGACAAGCTTTCATTACTCTCAAGTCTGTTTGGAGGTCAACAGCAATCAGCATCAAAAATAAAATCCGGAATTCCTACTCCAATGTGAAGTCAGTGCTACTCACTCTACGTATCAGATACTTGGCGCGTCATGAAGAGCATCTCAAATAAACTACACACCTTCATTAACAGTTGTCTTCGCTCAATACTTCTCTCAAGATCAGATGGCCAAAAAAGATCAGCAACAGAGATCTCTGAAAATGAGCGAACCAACCAGGAACCGATTGTACAACAAATAGGCAGGAAGAAATGGAGATGGATTGGCTGGCCACACTCTGAGGAAACCATCAAGTGACATCACTAGACAAGCCATTGCTCGAGTAGAACCCGAGTGGGAAGCGGCGAGTTGGTCGTCAGTGCGAGGGTGACTTGAAGTAGGTCATGTGAAGAGGAGATGAAAGCGTGTGGGCAGACTTGGAGCCAGGTGAAGACTCTAGCAGAGAACCGACCGCAATGGAGACTTGTGGCTGAAGCCCTATGTTCCTCTAGGAATTAAAGGAAACAATAATAATAATAACAAACTAGGCAGTTGAATGACAGTGTATGCCATTCATTTTTGGATCAATTTTCATTTCCCGATGATTCATTATGCTGAACCAAAATGTTCGTTTACTCTTGACATGTTAGCTTCTGGTACGGAGACTTCGAAGATGTTTGAGGATTGATGTGATGCCATTCTGCTTGATGACGATTAGCAGTAGACATCGTCAAAGCGTCCATACTAGGAACTGATATGTTGCCACAGACTGAACATTTCTGTCCAACATAATAAACCAACTAGAAATGAAAATGAAACTAGAAGGAATAATAACTGGTACCTATTGAACAAGGAATGACTCTTGTAGCCATTGTGGATAATGCTTTGACGTTTGAAATGCTGGGTTCAGGGTTCGAGTCCCAATGGGAAGACCACCAGTCACTGAGAATGTAGGTACATCAGCTGACAAGTCCTAAAAGTAGGACGAAATAAGCATCCAGGATTCTACTGCTAGTCGCTAAAAAACGAAGATGACACTTCATTCTGCAGAAACGTTTCTCGAGTAACTGTCTACGAATGTTTAATTTTCTCTCATGTGGGAGTGCGCATCTTGTCATTTTGCATGCCTGTTTTAAATGTTTCACACAAGGCTTAACATTGGATGAGTGATTACGTCACATTCCATATTTCACACCAACTTACACACGTGTGTTTCTGTGGATATACATACATAGGGAGCATTCATGATTTGTTCATGAGAGCGGGAAGACATATACCTAAATGGCTGAAAAGCTCTAGAATTGTGATAAACTCAGGTTTCAGACCACTAGCCACGTTGATGATAAAACACATTACTGATATAATTTATAAGAATGATATAAAGACAGCTTCCGAGATTATATATAAAACCATCAGGAGTGCATAGAGAGACCCACCCACAAAGGCAACAGTTATCTGTAAAATTAAGCTCCATCCCTCAATGTGTGTACCAGAACAACCCATTTTTACCCTTAGCCTATCTTGGTAACCTTTATCTGATTATATTACCAAGAGTAGCATCAATTATTTTCCTGTTTTTATTTCTTCACGTCCCCAGTGGAACATAGGACCTCAAGCTAGAGGCCTGAAGTTGCTGTAGCAGAGTTTATTTTTACGGGATGGGGTTGCTAACTTCCTCATGCCCAACCTTTCCTCTTTACCAGTCTTATTACTGGCTTAGCGAGGTAAAGGAGTGCGTCGGCCGGGGATCGAACCCTGGACCATGTGCATAGTCGGCTAGCGTCCTAACCGCTGTGCCACCGACGCCAATTATTATCCTACTTACTCTTAAATCCCTAATCACTTTGTTTATTTTAATTGGCCTGTTATTTTTCATATAAATTTACTTGGCAAGTAAAGTGTGTGGTCAGAATGTTCGAAATTTATTGCTTAGTTGCATCACATTTGAAGCAACCGTGTGTCTGGTTGACCCCCACCCCACTAGATAATACGCTTTTTTCAATTTTTCACCACTAATATTGTCATTAAAAGTTGAGTTTATTTCTAGGAGTGAATGCCCTCCTCATTTTTGTATATTTTTCACTGATGGTATAAGAATTTGAATAAGGCAGGAAAACAACAGTTTGTGCAGAATACGATGATACCATCAATGGCTTCTCATCATCTGCATACAGCTTGAGAATGTTACATGGTGTCAGTTGACAGGAGACTTCAAACTTAATTTGCAATTTGGCGCGCGAGCGCGCGTTACCATAAGCATCTCCAAATGACTCTACACCTTCACTAACAGCCGCCTTCTCTCGATACTGATGATCAGAAGTCCGGTAAGAAAGGATAAGCAACAACTAACTCTGGCAGCTGACCAGACAACAGCCCATTACTAGACAGATATGCAGCAGGAAATGGAGATGGACTGGACATACGCTAAGGAGACATTCAAGTGATATCACGCTGCAGGCCATGGAGAGGAATTCGAATGTGAAGTGGTGAGGTGGCTTTACGAGGGTGACATGGAGGAGATTATGTGAGGAGTAAATAAAATCTTAAGGGTGGTTGCCAAGCCAACTGAAAATGATGGCGGGAAATTTAATCCAATGGATATGTGCTGCTGAAGTCCTATTCTCCATTCGGGAAGTGAGCAACTAGTCCTAGTAATAATAATAATTACAAGTAAACATACAATGTAAATGTTTCGTTGAACACAGGTGACCAGACATTGTTCTTCGATTTAGTTGCAAATTTGTGCTTCTTTTCACTCAATAATGGACCAAATAATACCACTTCAATGAAAGGCTTAAATGTTCCTGTTGTTGTCCATTTCAAATTGTTCGCAGCGATAACTAGAAAAGAAAGACAAGAAGAAATAAACAATAATACTCAAAAAAAATATAAGAAGGTTAGGGATTTCTACAGAAAGGTTTCTTGTTAGTGGCCAGATGAACTTTTGTTTGCATTAACGTGAAATGCTGGTGGAAAAGTATGATGCTTTTAAAGAATGCCAAAAACTCTTACTGAAGGGAATATACAGAGTAAAGATCATTAAGTGATTTCAAAGTGTTGGTAAACCAGGGAGTACTGGACAGCCGTTTCGTCCTAGTTTGAGACTCTTCATCGGTACAAACCCATGACCTCAACGGAGCACTCAGATTATGAGGTCAGTAAGTTGACCATTCAGCCATTGCTACGGAATCCGATTAAAAGGTTATTGATACACTTTACAGAGGAAGTTACTTCTGAATTTTTGTAACCCAAAGTACATGTAGACAGTGGCGATTTCATGAATATTCAGGATAAGTCAGCTTTGAAACAGTGTTAATACACAGTAACCCCTGAACGACTCCATATACAAATATCAGTCCTCATATATCTGGAACAAAGTGAAAATATCAATTATTGGAACTTGTTTTTGTCACACCCTACAGCATTTGTCAGCATGACTGATTAATGAACAGCGTAGACTTAACACACTCTAAGGTACGATGAATTATGGAAGTTAAATTTCGGACTAAGATGTTCATTTCATTCTCTTTATGCATCTACCAAAAAGCTAAATATTCTCTTTGAAGCCTCTAAAAATAAGTAACATAGGTATATATGTATGTATATAAAATGGTTTGTTGGGATGTCCTGGAGTCCTAAGGAAACGTTGTAGCCAGTGGGGACCGCCATCTCACAACAACGTGGATGCTGATCGATAACAATGGTTGGCGGTAGTGCAATATCACGAATTGAGAAAAGTTAGAAGCAGCGGATTACTGGATCTCAACTCAGTGGCTGAATAGTGGTCGACGAGCCGGCAGCGTAACCTGAAAGTTATCAGTTCCATTGCTGGTGGGTTCATGGGTGTGCACTGATGAAGACTCCCGAATCAGGACAAAACAACCATCTAGTACTCTTTAGTTTTCAGTGGTGGTGATTAGTTCGCGATGAAATGCACTTTACTGTCTACACTGTCTCACTTCTTAGTAACTCTTTGTTTTCTAATTTTGTTAGCTTATCTTTTCACTCCACCCCACCCCCTCTATTTTTCACTTGACTCTCTTAAGAGATAATTTTTCTTGATCTTCTAAGTTCTGCTCACTGTATTACGCCATTACATTCTCATCTGACCTTATCTAATTACGTAGCTATTACTGATTGTCTTTTGTTACCACCCCAACAACACAATAAACTTCTCTCTAACAAGATATATATAAGTAGTAACACTTTAGACACCATGTAAGTCGCAAAGCCTTATTTTACCATGATGCTCTGACAATAAGCTTGCTAATGGACAATGGTTTGTTAAAATTGTAGACTTTTTATTTTTATTTTATTAAAAACAATTAAAGTAGTTTAGTAATTGCTATTCATGTTGGGCTTTTATATCCATCTGAAGTATGTTCAACGTTAAAATAAATGCATTTAACTGGCGTACAGTTTTCTTTAACTTCTCACAAGCTTACAAGCGATTATACTGAAGACAGTTTAAGACATTTTCAAAGTGACATATTAGGTGTGAATTCATGAAATGAAAGAAATGAACTTGTGCAGAACTCGAAGGTATACTTTCTTTGTAAGATTAGTCTTAAGAAAATCATCTAACTATGGGTACAGGATCAGTGTCTTCTTTGTTAATTACTCTATGGGGATAGAATGCTGATAAAACCTTGTCATTTTTGACTCTCAAGCATAATTAACTACTAGGTAAGTGAATCGTAACAGTGACTATTGCGATGAACGTTCCTCGTTCATAGACTTTTTTTTCCAGTAAATCAGTAATGAAGTTTTCCAAAGAGTCCGAATTTATTTATTCATCATTCAGGTCGGTTAGCCGGATGCTCCTAACATCTGTAAATATGATATTATAAAAGTTCTTCGAATGATTTGAATCTTTACTACTCCATTATTATTATATTATTGTTTCCTTTAATTCCTAGAGGAACATAGGGCTTCACCCGTGCGTCTCCATTGCGTTCGGTTCTCTGCTAGAGTTTTCACCTGGCTCCAAGTCTGTCCACAGGTTTTCATCTCCTCTTCACATGACCTCCTCCAAGTCACCCTCACCCTTGCACTGACGACCAACTCGCCGCTTCCCTTTCGGGTTCCACTCGAGCAATGGCTTGTCTAGTGATGTCACTTGATGGCTTCCTTAGAGTATGGCCAATCCATCTCCATTTCTTCCTGCCTATTTGTTTCACAATCGGTTCCTGCTGAGTTGGTTCGCTCACAGAGATCCCTCCCTGTTGCTGATCTTTTCTGGCCGGCCATCTGATCTTGAGTATTGAGCGAAGACAACTGTTAATGAAGGTCTGTAGTTTGTTTGAGATGCTCTTTATGACGCGTCAAGTCTCTGATCCGTATAGCAAGTAGCACTGACTTCACATTGGAGTTGAAAATCCGGATCTTATTTCTTCATGCTGAGTGCTGTTGACCTCCACACAGACTTGGGAGTAGTGAAAGCTTGTCTTGCTTTTCCGATCCTTGTTTTGATATCCTCGTCAGTTCCGTTCTCCTGTAGTTGAAACGATGCTTCCCAGGTAGGTAAAACAAGGGTTGTTTCTTTCAGGTTCCTCCTATTTATGCTGATTGTTGTCTGTTGTTGTTGTTGTTGCTGTTGGTGGTGTTGCCCAAGAATCTTCATCATCTCTGTTTTTTCTATGTTCACCTGAAGTCCTATCTTATCTGGATGCTTTTTCTGCCAACTTGTTGCTTTTCACTTGCAGATCTTCCAGTTTTTGGGAAATCAGATATATAGATCCTCCATTTTTTGTGTGAGTCCATTTTATGCCTGTTTCCTAATTGTCCGCTGTTTGTCACATTATCCAGTCTACTGCAATCAGGAAAATCATTGGCGATAGTAGGCAGCGAGCTTGTCTTACTCCTGTCCTCACTACTACTACTACTACTCCATACCAAAGTTGAATATTTTATCATTGGGCTGTTTAGTTCATAAAAACCGAAAGGTCTTCATTTTTATATTACTTCAACTGTGATTTCAACATAATCCCTGCTAATATTACTGAAGAATGTGCATCATTCGTTCAATGGTAGAATGCTCGCAAGCCATACAGAAGTTCTAGGCTCGAATTCCAGCCTGACTGGTAGTAAGACCGGGAAAGAACACAGGTTGGGAGTGAGACCAGCAAGCAACCCGGCTCCGTAAAGACGCCACTGCTACTGAAACTTCAAAGATTGAAGCCCTACATTCCATGCGTAACGCAAGGAATGAAAAACAAGTTGGAGAGGTGGACTAAAACAAAAGGTCATCAATAAAAACATGACTGAAATTGGTATACTGATATATTATAATGCTGTTCCTGACATCCTGTGCTTTCTCTCAAAGGAACATGAATATTCAACTTTGATAGTTGGAGGGTACTGAAAGTTGAGAAATAATCACTTCAAAAAGGTTTCATTGTATACAGCGCTGGTTTGTTTTCTATGCTATCTATACACTGGTATTGTGAATAATTACAATTGTGTTTTTTTTACAGCTTCTCTGCCCTCTCTTGTCATCAAACCTATTTATCAAACGTGACTCATACACATACATTATTAGTGCATACAATAAAGCAATTCAAAGCCTTTGTTTATCTCAGACATGTTATGTCGCACAGATGACCTTGAAAAAGTACTTCATTGAGGATGATAAGGTGAGGGTGAAAGAGCAATGTAAAGAAGAGAAAAAAAATGGAAGGTACACGTCACTTACCAAATTAGGTTATCGAGAATTTCGTGTTCTGTTATTTTATTTTATTTTAGTTTTTTGTTACTGTGTTGTCGATAGTGCATGAAAATGCCGTTTTGCATCAGTTGGTAAATGCTGCACTTAGGAATGTAAAGTAAGCATATAACGTATATGTCCTGACAAGTGTTAGAGTCAGTGTTTCAAAGGTATTCGTGACGGTAAGGCTGTTTTGGTTTATTGTCCTATTAAGGACATTCATACATTATGTCTCTAGTATGTGACTGGTCAGTGTACCTTGCCATTTTATAGATACGTCTGAAACCCACTCGTAATCACTAGCGTCTCAAAAACAATCTGTTTCTGAATGGCTGCTCTAAATTCTAATGGAAAGAGCCTCCATCAATTTTGAAGTGTTGGTAGATGTCTTCACCTAATGTTACTTTACTTTTACTTTACTTCGGCTATCTCCTACGGGAGGATGAGACGGCTTCATGAACATCTCGAATCGTTTGTAAGAGAGTTTATGAAGTTTCATGGGAATTTGGTACGAGTGATGTCCCCAGAATCGCTCGGCCTTTTGTTTGAGAGTGCAGCTCTAGCCTTTACACAACCAAGTGTGACCTACAAGGCAGTAGGAGTGGAGTAGGGAGTCCACTATCCATTGGCAGCCGGTGACCGGAGTTCCGTTCATACGCCTTTTTGAATGGGGCCAGACATCCAGGACATCCAACAAGCCCTTTGTCCATACGTCTGCCGGTGAGCTCCAGTGAGCTTCATACGCCAGTCGTTGGAGGTTTGGAATCAGGGTTTAGCCATTTCCCCTAGACTGTCATCCAGTGGACAGTAAACCCGGTGAAGAGCGCCGGGCATCCGCTTTCGCCCTCTCACTTTGGTGAAAAACACCTCCGCCACGTGAAGGCAGTGAGTAGGACTTCCTCAGGAGAGGCTATGTAAGACGCCCGGTCATATGGGAGCATTTCAAGAGGTGTGCGGAGGGGTGGCCAACCCGCAGCGCAAGGCACCCACCCCCGACCATCCTGAGGCTTTGGAGGCTAATGTTGGAGACTATGTTATATTCATTATGTTGCTAATTCCTCTTCTTACAAAATTCCCGTATAATCTTATCAGTTATACATTCATGTTTCTTATGATGGAAGATTTAAAGTTCTT